TTTAATCAGTATTTTCAAAACACGAATCTATATATATGGTAAAATGTTTTTCTTTTCCTCTTTTAAGGAGAATCGGGCATCTTTGTGGGGAAGATCAATCCGAAAAGGGTATTGAACGATTTTTCTGGATACGTGGATAGAAAAGCATCGGAACAAAAAATTCTTCGCGATGTATTCAGGAAAGGAGATCGAGTCTTTAATTCTGGTAATTGAAATAAAGCGATAAAAAGAAAATTCATCGATGTATTTATAAAAAAATTCATAATTGAAACGTTCTTCTTCTGCAGGCGATATTTTGCTCATGGACGAATTCGGATATTTCTATTTTAAAGATAGGACTGGTGACACGTTCAGGTAAGAATTTTATTTTATTCAATCTTCGCTCGAGTGAAGAATTTAAATTTTATTTTCCATTTTTTCTTCTTTTTTTTTTTAGATGGCACGGCGAGAACGTTGCTACTTCAGAGGTGGAGGCTGTCGTCAGCAATGTGATAGGTTTAAAAGATGCAGCTGTATATGGAGTCGAGGTGATCGAACGAAACCATGATTAATTTTTATTAGAATAATTTGATCTACGATGTTGTGCAATTGGCAGGTACCTGGAACCGAAGGAAAGGCTGGAATGGCCGCCATTTACGATCCAGAATATACTTTGAACATCAAAGAAATGGCGGACGGTGTGAAGAAATCTTTACCGTCGTATGCCAGACCTCTTTTCGTTCGAGTGTTGTCGGAATTGCCGATGACTGGCAAGTATTTTAATTACAATTGAAATACAATTGATCGTTCGGAATTGTTGAAACTTTTCTTTTTCTTTTATTTCAGGCACGTTTAAATTGAAGAAAAAAGATCTTCAAGAAGATGGATTCGATATTAAAAAGGTAAAGGTATTTTAATTTATTTTAAATAAATGTATATTAAAATGACTACGTAAGATTGATTTGATCGCGTTTCCGTTTCCGCAGATCACAGACCCGATTTATTTCCTCGACAACTCTGGTGTCTACGTAAAGTTGACAGAAGAAATTTACAACAATATATTGGAGGGGAAAATTCGATTGTGAATTCGTAATTTTTTTAGCGAGTTCACCAAAGTATAAACAATCTCGTTTTTTGTATAATTTCTATTTATTGACGAGAGGAATAGTCTATTTAGACAGATTTATCTTTTGTCTATAAATATTTCCGAATGAAATTTTATCGACGAACTTGCTATCGGAGAATTGCTACATTTATACGTATTTTTATATCTATTTTAATTTACGATTCTTATAATAGAAACTGTAAAAAAGTTTCGGAATAATAGAATTGTAAGAGATAGATAATATTTTAATAGATACACGTATTTCAAAAAAAAAAAAAAAAAAAAAAAAAAAAAAAAAAAAAAAAAAAA